TCTTTCCCTGATGCCTGCCTTTCTGTTTCTGACAGCAGGACTCATGTGCCTGAATGTTTGTCTTTCCTTCCCTTCACTTTTCCACCCTAATTTATCTAATGAGAGAATATTCTCTCTGCCTTTGAACTTTGCTGTGGATTTTTATATGCTTTAATCTAATAATAGCGCTGGGAGTAGGGGTAGCAACAGAAGACACCTCTGGGGGTTTACTAAGAAGGTAAAAATACAATGCAAACAAAAAGTAAGTGGTGTCAGAGAAACAGACACTGAGGTAGTTTGATAACAGCCGAGTTTAAGCTTGTAAGCAAGTTAACTGAAACAGGGAGAAGAAATAGAAGAAAAACAAGATTAATGTAATTAGTGGTGGTAATCAAATGGATTCTTTAAAACGGAGAAGCTTTTCCTTGGTCTTTCTGAGGTGGCATATGTATTTTTAAGTTGTTTGCCTAGATTTAATGCTGCTTGCTGTCAGTTTTCTCCTAAATCTTGGAGGACAATTTGTGACATTAACATTTCATTTTGTGCCATGCTCAGCTGGGTTGTGTCACCTCTGTGAGATGGTGCTCATGATCATAGATTCATAGATTGCTTTTAGTTTAGGCTTCCCTTGTAAATAAGAACTTTTACCAGTTAAATGTTGCTTTCAGATCTTCAGGGGTGCAGGGAAATCCTGTTGCCAAACCAGTAAAAATATTATTTGCTTTGTTTGAAAAAGAAAAAGGATATAAAAAATACATCCAAGTGAACAAACTACTAAAGCTTTTCTAAAGCTTCTGTGTTTGGAAAGCAGGTTGGTGTAACGGAGTAACTGCAAAATAATGATTTGCTAAAGAGTCTAATAAGCTCAGTTTGTTAGAGCAGCATTAATCCCATCTTGAGCTTGCTGCCCTGACCAGGACTTCCCATGTGCAGTGCCTGGGATCTGGGCAGTGCAGGAACTGTCTCAGCAGGGTGACAAACGAGGTGTGGAGGGGCTGGATGGAGCTTTCCAGCCTCCCAGTGACGCACTGCCCTGAAGAATTGCAGGATAGAAGCTCATTCACTAAAGCTGGGTTTACGTACTGTTGAAGCACTGGAGTAAACAGTTTGGATTACTGGGTAGTGACGGATGCTTTTGATTCATATGATTCTTTGGCTCAAACTTGTTAAAAGAAGCTGTATTCTGCAAAAAAGAGAGAAGTGGTTTTGGAGGCGGTGTGAAGAGGAACTTGATGTGTTTTTGGGTCTTGGTGTGCTGAGTATTTTAGTCCTTATGTGACTAAGTGGATATTTATTTTGCCTTAATGTGTATTTGATTAGGTTACATCAGCTATAAATACTGGAAGCTCTAAAGCCTCTCTTTCACTGTCTCTAATCTTGGCTTTTGAGGAACATTTAATGTCTTGTTGTGGTTACAATTAATCTGCGTGTGTTTCAGCAATTAGTGTTTATGTGCAGCAGGCAGCAGCAGATTCTGGCAACTGTCAATCAGCATCTGTAATTGGCTCTGAAAAGGGACGGGAGAGAAAACACAAGGTGATTCACTGCCTGCCCGGTTCTTTGGCAACACCTTTTTGTTGATAAACACCCTTTCTGGCCCGAGTTATTTGCTGTGCTTTGCTGTGCAGAGCAGAGGAGTAGCAGGGTTATCATTGCTTTGATTTGATAAAGCTGTTACATTACCAGTTGAATGGGCTGGAATTTACATTCTCTGCCACCTTTGTGACAGTTGCTGTTTTTTAAACTCTTGTAGTTTTGTTTATGCAGAAATGTTTGTTTTTTAAACAAACTTTATTATAATCTAGAAACACATATAGTCCTGTTAACCACGCATAGGGACGACAAAATACATCCAGCTTCATAGCAGTTGAATTCTTCTGCTTGGCTAAGATTTAATAAAACTGATCATATGAGATTATACAAGCAAAACACAGATGGAGGAGGGAAAATGGTTTGACTTGAAGAGAGAACTGAGAGGTCATGTTGCTGCTGCTGCTGTGTTTGTAGCTCCCAGCCCTGGGTGTTCCTTCCATCTCCAGGGTGTAGGAGTGCTCTGCTGATGATTGGGGTTTCCTTACTGTTTGCTTTGAGGCTTTTTGTTTTTTAAAGGAAGTGGACAAAGTTAACAGCCAGAGGTACTGGCAATACAATTCAGCTTTGTCAGGGGAATCTGAACCTGTTAAAGAACCTGATGTGCCTTCGGCTGGGGAGTTCTGGCTCCGCACCTTGAGCGAGTCATCATGTCTTTGTCCAGCAGTTACCACCTGTAAAATGGAGATAAAAATAGTGACCTTGCTTTAGCAGTTTTCCAGGTCACAAGCTCTGTACCAGTGTCCTCTTTAGCATTGTTTCAATAAGGCTGTGCAGATTGATGGCTTGTCCTGCTTTGAGGCTGTTGAATGCTACAGCCATGCGTGCTGCTCCTCTTCCCTCCCCAGTTCTGCTGCTTATCCAGTTTATTACTGTGATGTATATGTACAGCACCTTAATTCCTTGCCCTGAGAAGTACAAAATGGATTTGTGACAGCAGCTGAGTGTTAATTTTGTACATCTAATCCTGCTGTTTGAACTGTAGTAGTTGCCTCTTATATTAAGTAAATTTAAACTTATTTTGAAATAGGAGGCAATAAAATGTTCAGGATCTGAAAACCAGCTTCTTTTTCCACCTGCTCACTCACTATCAATGCCTTCTCTTTGGGTTTGGATTTTTTCCCTCTATGTCTTAATGGTACAAATGCTACAAAGTCTTCAGTTTGGTGGGAAGCTTTGGCCCTGCTGCCTGGTGCTCGATGGGCTTTGGGCACATCACTGTGTCCTGCTGCTGGACGAGGTAATTGCAGTTAGTGTTCAGCTCTTCATAAATGGGGTAACAGCTCCCTTTGTATTCGTTTGTTTTGTGTTGAGGAGTAGAGGGAAGTGTAAGAGTCACTCTCCTCTACATAAAAATACATAAATTACTGAAGACTAGAAGAAAGTCAAAGTTCAAACAGAGAGACTCTGACAAGACCTTCAAAAAACGCACCAAAACCCAGTGTTAACCTTTATCATGGCTTTTTAACTGATGCTTGGGTAGACTGATGTTTTTACTAATAATCTGTTCTTTTTTAAACAGCTTCTTAGTAGCTGCCTGTTGTAAAGGGATCAATCTGTGGGGTTTTTTTCAGTTGGTCTGGTTGTTTTCCAGCTGTATCACTCCTGTGTAAAACCTGCCATATGATACATGCTGGGAACCACTGATTACTGAGTGTTTTTCAAATAAAGCGACTCCAAGGAATTCATACTAATTAGCAGTCCACTATTACAGGTTGTTGATTACTGGTTTTTTGTTGCTGGTTGTTTTTGTGATTGTTTTTCCAGAAACCTTCATCATTAGGAAGAAATGAAAGAAAGAAAAACTCAGATTAGTGGAGTCAATGTATGGAAAAACAGAAAACTTTGTTTGGATGTAGTTTCAGCACTAGCACACGCAGTCCTGAAATCCTGATGAAAAAAGATAAAATGATGGTTTGGTCCAGCTGTTGTTGGCTGCAGAGGATGTTGCACATCTGTCTGCCCTGCCTTCACACTGTGGGTACTGGAGTTGGGAGCAGCTGAGGGAGCAGGAGCAGAGGGTGCAGATGAGCAGGGGCTGGAAGAACAGAAGCCCCAGCTCTGGGGTGGGTGCACATCCTCTCGGACCCCTGAGCGGCCACATTCAGCTGCAGACTTTCGGGAAAGGGGATTGAAACACAGGAGAGGTGACAGTAAATCCAGAGCAGGTGGGGATGAGTTCCCAGTCCTGTTGTTTGCACCCGTGGCTCGACAGGCACGCATGGTCCGTGTCCCACACCTCGGCAGGTCGTTGGCCTCTCTGACAGCATCTTTTGTCACACAGGTGCTGATGTGACAGTGACAGAGCCCAGCAGCTCTGACAGCAGAGTGGAGCGATCCGATCCCTACGGGAACACCGAGGAAGCCCTCCTGGGGGGGGAAGGCAGCTACATCTCCCAGCCCCTGACCCCAGAGAAGGAGGATGCTCTCCAGGCTGCCACGGTGGCCAACCTGCGCGCCGCTCTCATGAGCAAGAACAGTTTGCTGTCCCTGAAGGCCGACATGCTGGGAGAGGATAGTTCTCTGCTGTTTGAGTACCTACCCAAAGGCACGCACTCCCTCTCTCGTAAGTTTGTGTTTATATATATTTTTTTGTTTTGTTTACTGACACTTTAAGCAAAATCTTTAGTGAGGAGAAAATCCAGGTTGCTACCTTGTTTATTACTGCTGGTGATGTTTGTATCCTGTTTTAAGTCGTGCTTAGTCCCACTTCCCATACAATTTGGAAACCCGTGTCTGATATTGATCCAGTTTTAATGCTACCTGCTGGAGCCATGGAAGGAGGTGTTTGGTGTGTGTATGTAGCTCTTGTCCTCATTTTGCAAAATGGTGCTTACAAACAAAATGCGAGTCCTTATGGTAAATGAAGTGGCTGCAAAGGTTTTGAATCCAAACTTTCCCAGTGTTGAAAGGCTTGACTGTTCATCTGGTGTTTGTAGAAACAGTTGTGATTTTGCAGATCACACAAGCTTTGTGTGCTTCTTGCTGCTTATTTTCAAGCCTCTCTCTAAGTAATGAGGAACTATTGATTGTCCTGTTACACTTGTGCATGGAGACAAATCTTTTCCTGCTGGTGATCTGTTTGAAACAGCTGATGTGCACCTTTGTGTGGGGATGCTTATGTATCAGCATACTTCTGCATTTCCTTCACTGCAACAGTAAAATGGTTTCATTCTCCAGTGCACAAAAAAAAAAGAAAAATTATTAATTCTGGATTTTAATAATGCTCTCAGAAGATGTGTCATTTGTGACATAAAACACAGCAAGTGGTGGCTTTCTGAGTACTATGTGTGAGTTTCCAGCAGAAAAGGTTTATTTTAATCTACAGTGAGAAAACTGACTAATTAAATAGAGTGAGAAGTTCACTTAGGGTATTTATTTTTTGTTTCCTTGGTGGCAAAAAAGTAGATAACTTCTAATGGTCATTTGGGTTGCATGATAAAGGGGGGGGGGGAAATGGACAGTACCATGTTGGTCTCTGTGTCACTTTTCACTTCTCATGTCTGAAAAGTAGAATATTTCTTTTTTTAAAAAAAAAAAAAGTAGAATATTTCTATTTTTTAAATTCTAAGTTTGGAGGAAAAATATTTTTTTATATGTTATTCTGCAGCTTCTGTGTCTGAGGGAGAGTTGCTCAGGTTACCCCCACAGTAGCTGCTGTATTGAATGATTTCCCATGCAGTCAGGTCGAGGTGGCTCACTCTGGGCTCCTGGGGGGCAAATCCCTTCCTTGCCATGGGAGAGCAAAGGCCCTGGGTGGTGGCAGAGGTAGTTGATCCCCCTGATCTGTGACAGGGCCATCAGCTGTTCCATCTGCTGTCATGGTGAACTGGAATAGTGATGAGCTGCCTTCTGCCCATTATCCTGCTCTTGGTTGGAGGATTTTTAGGTGTCGCTTAAAAGCTGAAGGACCACTTGGCGCAAAGACAAATGACTACAAGGCAGTCATAAATTTAGGGAAGAAATTAGAGATCTCTTAACCAGCTGAGAAGCAGAGGTAGGGAACAGGCAGGGTGGAGGCAGCACAGCAGCTGGGTTTAAAATAAAGTGTGCTAGATTTAGAAAAGGGGCTAGTGATAGCTCATTCAGAGGTGCAGTGACTTGAGGAGGTCCTTCCAGCCTGTGTCTGAGGTCCCAGTTTTCCAGTCCTCTTACCATGACTTCAGTTTCTTTCAGCTAAGTGTCAGTTATCTCATTTTTATAGGAGTGAAGTGAATTGCAAAGACAAAAAGAAAACTGCTCCCTTGGTTTGGTGCTCTCACACCAGTAGGTGGATGTGGCTGTGGCCTGGTGGGAGGATTTTTATGGGGGCAGGGAGTTATGTGACATAGTATTCTTTCATCTTATTCAAATTCACAGGTATCAATTAATTTTAATCACACGAGGATGATGTTCTGATACCAGACTCGTTTCCTTTTAAGTGGTCATTATTAAATACAATAGGACATCAAGTTTAATGAGAATTTTCAGGGTATAAAATGGCATTAAAGCAAGTGGCAAGATGATTCTGGAGATCTAAAAGCACAGTCTAGGTTGGTGCTAGCTTTATAGGTGTTTTTCACATTTCTCTTCAAACACAATTTGAGGATGTTGAGTCATTTTAAGTCCTGGGTTATATTAAAAGAAAAAATATGGGGGGGAGTGTTGTGGCAGAGTAGGCAGGAGCAGTGTGAACAAGATTCTTCTTTTTAAAAACCAAAAACAGCCCAGTGTGTGGTAGTTTTCATCTGTCTGATCTGAAAAGGAAACTCACTGCTCTCAAGAGTTTTAAGTGGTTAATCTAGCGAATTCTAAAAAATGTGAAGTGTGTTTTTAATCTTAACTGCCAGCATGGGATTGTCTTCATATTCTCTTATGAATTCATAAAGTAAGGAACTGACTCAAAGAGTAGCATTCATATTTATTTTTCTTTTCTGGAGGAAAAGACTTTTAATACAGGTGGACAGATACGGAGAGTAAAACATGCTGCAGTACTTGGCATAGTTCATACTGCTTTGGAAGCTCACAGAAGACACCCCAAAGTTTTTTATTTACCCCAAGTTCCCTTTTTTTTTCCCCTACTTCACTGTAATTGTAGTGATTGTTTGAGGTGTGGAATTACTTAACATCCTGCTGATGGGAAATAAAGCCCAGGATGTGTGGGGGTGTTGCATCACTGTCATGTAGTCAGACATAACACAGCATTTCTGAAGTTAACCAGTTCAAACTCATTTAAAATCAGAAGGGGAAATTTCAGGGTCTTACCATTTCATTAACACTGTTGCCAGAGGACCTAGAGCTGGAGGGATCTGAGAACTTATGGGGTATGATCAAGACTGACATTGTTCATGTGCTTATCAGAAATGTAAAGAACCTGGAGATTATGCAGAAAAAAAAGTACATGTCACAAAATCATCCTGGTTGGAAAAGACCTTGAAGTGTCAGTTACTCATGGCTGAGGTCATCTTGGGTGCCATTAGTTCCTGAACCTGCAGGGCTTGTTGTTGGGGATGTCCTTCGGATAAGACCATGCAAGAAGTTTGGTTTTCCTTGTCTTCTACGTGTTTACATGGATTGTGAGAGCGGGTTGTTCTTTGCTGATTTCCAGCTCCAGCTGTACTGCTCTCTGAGCTCCTCAGCACTGGGTGTCTGACTTCATCTGTGACACTGAACTTTGGCAGCGTTGTTCCGTGCGGTTGCACCACATCTACAGGAGTCTCTGAGGCTTTACTTGAATGTTTGTAGCTGGTTTTGCTGAGAATAATTGAGAGAATGAGAATTTTCATTTTCCTCAGAAAATGAGTTGGTTAGTTTACATCCTTGTTCTCTCATTCAGGAAGTCAGAAACTCCCAGATTTTGGGGTGACTGACCACCTTAAAGGGCGACTCTCCCACATTTTCAGAATAGTACATTGTATACTTTTTTGTATGTCTAAGTTTGGCTTTTCCTGTTTACCCTGTTGCAACTGAAACTGTTTATAGAAGCAATTCCTAGGAAGCTTGCTGGCCAAGTGATTACACGGTACACAGAGCCCTTTTCTTTGGGGCAAACCAGCTAATACGTTATTTTTAGTTAGCGGTTCATTGGAGCCAATAATTTGTATTTGCACTGCATGTTAAAGGAATACATTTTACACAGTGGTCAGCTTTCCCAAGAGGGAGTTAAAGGTATCCAGTTTGACATGGAATTTTTGTACTTGGTAACAAAAATGAAGGGAAGGATGGATGCAATTTTAAACAAGATACAATAACCTTTGGCTTTCTCTTTTCCACAATGATGACTGTCTAGCTGTCAGGGAATACTCTATCAATATAAATACTGCTAAACTAGTGCATCATCTTCTCTACACAAAGATGACTGAAGGAAAGTGCTTTTGATTTCTGATTTACAAGTTAAAATACTTCTCATTAAAATTCATTTCAATACAAACGTAGGAAGGAAAACTTCCTCATGATACTAGTCAGAATGGGACAAAACATAAATTCAGGAGCTGTTTGCATTCTTGTGTGCAAAGTATGGGTTGTTATGTGGGTTTCTCTTCTTGTATTACCTACAGTTGTTGGAACCAAATAAATATTAATTATTGTTTTAAAAATCACCTTTGTGCTTTATTGTGTTGTACTTCTTTGTGGCTCATGGTGGATGATGGAGTTGTTATTCCTGACTCTGTTTGGTTGCTCATTCTTTAGCCTTAATTTTTGCCTTAAGAAATGCATCTTTTCTTAGAGACCTGGGCAGCACAGTAAAGATACTAATAAAGGATTAATCAAACCAGACCCCCCTGGCTTATACTCATGTATGTGAAAATGTCACTGGTTTAAGGAAGCACAACCCAGAGCTGCCTCGAAGCTGCTGATGGTCACAGTGTGAGCACAGTGTGAACAGGGCAGTTTGAGTCACTTTGGGATGGTCAGAGAGAAAAGGAACCTAGGCAGGAATTCACTTCCCCCCCCCCCCCCAACTTTTTTTCTATCTTCAATTTACAAAGTTTTGGCATTTTGTTGTCCTGCCCTAAATACCAGCAGCAGTAGATGGGTGCCACCAGAATGAAAAGTGAGGCATTGTTGGCACGTTTGAGTAGAGGTAACTGCCTTGTGAGAGATTCCAATCTGTGCTCAAAGCAGAGGAAGGTAAATCAAACATCAGCTTGTGGCACAAGAGCAGAATTGCCTTTGACAGCTGATAAAAAGTTAGGTTGGGGTTGTTCACATCTGGAAACCTTTGTGGGGCTTCACTCACCTGCTTTGTTGTGACCCAGATCATGGTGTGTTGTGCTCAGACATGGTGTAAACTTTGATTTGTTATTTGTAGCTGCATTGAAGAGGGTGGGGTTTATATGTGTAAAAGTTTCGATGAGACTCTTTTGTGTTAGCAGCAAGACAGCCTTTAGGACACAGAGTGCTTGAAATACTAATTGGTATAGTTTAATGCCATATTTGCTTCTGATTCCACCTGCTTGCTTTTCAAAAACAATGACCTGCTTGATATGTCACCCCAATATTCAGTAAAGGTGTTGAAGTTTGTTTAACAACTTGTAATGTACTGCAATCTTGATTCCACAGTTTTTATTTGTGTGTGGATTTGTT